ACGGATATAACATATGTATGATGAAATGGAATATTTGTATGTAGTGTTGGATGACTATCTTATTCCTTTTGTGCTTGGATAGTCATCTTATAATGCCCTATCGATACGGATGATGAAATGGAACTTTCGTATATACTACATGGAGGATCTCCTGCATTTTGTGTTTGAATGATATTAATAGTTTATGTTTCGAAAATATAATTCAGTGCTATTGCAAATAAACGCGGAAACAGCCCCAAAAATACCGAAATACTACAGTACCAAAAGTACCTTAAAATATTCTACAGTACTAGAATTAGAATAGAGAGCTGGCGCTTAAGTGATTATGTAGAGAGTGATAGGCGAATTTCTTTAATGACGATAATCAATTATGGTTGATGGGCGTCTTGTAAACAAAATTGCATGTTTATGAGTTGTTGAATAATACATGAACAAGTCATGGAATTGTTGTTGAGATGGACTGTGGTGAGTGGCGTTCAACGACGAAGAAACTAAGAGATGAGGGTGTTTCTTACACCTAAGATTTCTTCGTAATTTGTTGATCGTTTTCGTTTCACTTCAAACTTTTTTTGTAGCAATCTCTTTTCAGTACGGCAAACTCCTTCAGAACACATAATCTTCATAAGTCTCATTTAGATTTTGCTAAAGAGATTGATTCTCTTCATCAATGGAAGTCAATTTGTTCTACTTGCGCTTTCTTGATCTAATGTTTTTTTTTTGCTGAAGTGAAGAATGCTACGATATGTTTAGCCTAAAGCTAAAAATCTCCTGCGTCTTAGGTTCAGATTCAATGAATCGACTGCTTTCAGACATGGCCTTCCGTTATGTACTGTTCAACCTACTAATCGCATTATTTACTACTTCTTCAGTTGGAGCTCATCAACCTATACCGGATGCAGGTGAGCTAATGCCTTTCAAACGGTTACCTACCGAAGATCTTTTCAACGATTGCTTTTCACATTCTTAACGATTCTGAATTTTTTCTTGCTGTTTCAGCTCTGCATACGATACCCAATTTGGTTGTTAGTTGCAGTTCCGATTCGGACTGTGCCCCAGATGAATACTGCAATAAAGTATGCAGGTTTGTGGATAAAGTCGATTGCAGCTACTGAATCTGGCTCTATTGCTAAATCAAATGTTTCATTTTTATGAATGTCTCATTTCCAATCATCTCAAAGAATACTTAACGATTGTTAAAATCGCATTTGACTCGTTGGGAAAGTGTGATCGCCGTAGTGATTACCTTCTGTTCAAATAGAGTACATTGGAGCAATCGTGCTTGGTCTTTCGAGACTACTTCATTCAGTTTTCAGTTGGTCGCATCCATACAGATCCTTCACCGGTTGTGCTGTTGTTTGTGTGACAAAAAAGTCAATTCCAATTCAACAGATGTTCGAAACAGCAATTTTTAAACGCTTGTAAGTGCTTGGATTTTGCTTCAAATCTGAATTTCCGAATTCTAGCTCATCAGCTGGATTGCAGTTTCATAAGCGGAATTTTTCGAAAGCTTTCTTCCATTGTTTCTGGAATCCAATCAAATTGTCGACAGCTTCCAATGAAATAAGTGACATTCACGCATGTTTTCAGTTATCTTACACATCATGTCGTACCCGTGGGTGTTGCTGAACCTCATTGGTTGAAGAATGAGGTACGTTAGGTGTTGATCAATCAGTTGGTGAACGATCACTGAATGTGTTTTGTAGTGCAATTTTGATCATTAGCATCAATTCAAAACTATTTATCTATTACGAAAAATCAAAAATTTTGCTCTCCAAACCCAGACAATTTTAATCCGTCGCTGTGCTTCTTTCCTTATTGTTAGTCATAATGGAGATAAGCTGAGCCATTGGGGCTCTTGGAAGTTGTTTCTAGCTAAGAAGCAATTATCGTATTCCTTCCTAGATGGCTGTCATGGAAGCGCTCAATAATGAGTTGGCTGCATCTGAAGACGAGAAAGACGGCTCTAGCGCAACACAACAGCTCGAAGACGATTCCCTGCTTCCTGTAGTATCTGAACTCAAGAAACCACTCTCAATCACACATGTCAAAGTATCCGAGAGCGCAGTCTCTTCAGCACGCGCAGACCATGTCGTTGATGCTCACACGTCTAAAGATGAAGGTAGTGAAACTTATGTGAGCCCTCACCGGATGCTTTCATTCTGCATGATATATACATGCTTGCATGCCATGTTCTAATCTTCCTCGCACTCGGCTGATGTTTCCCGTTGTAGATATAGAAGCGAGTGGACTTGACTTGGAAACTAGTTCTGGAGAGGTTATAAGTGCTGCTGCAAAAGCCGAGGAGTCTTCCGCAGTTGAGGCTGATACAGAAGCCAGTGGGTATGACAGCATCGACGAGATCATTCCTGTTCAAAACGTGAAGCAATCGCTTGCAAGTTCAACTAAAATTGATACTGGTCGTCTTTATTGACCATTTGTTTTCTCCGAAATGATCCATGCACAGAATAACAACTCACTGAATTTTAAAAGAATACTTCTGAAGCGAAAACTCGAAATGCTAACAGGGTTCAAGTTCATGAGCATTTTTGTATGTCATTTGATTGACTTTGTACGAGTGGAACCATTGGTGATCTGAAAAACCGAGCGTCCAAAATTGCGATCACTACAGCGATTGGTTTTAAATGAACTTATGATCGAATGATCAGATCTTCGTTCATTCGCTATCACATAATTACTCGGAAATTGTCCTTCTCCGAAATTAATTGTCCATCAAATTGCGTAACCTGATTAGTTTCCTCTCTAGATATGGAGGAAGCAAGTGGCAATGACCCGGAGGATATAACTGCCGAGACAGTTCCATCTACGGTGAGCATGGAGAAATTGATCACCGATGTTGACGACAATAATAACGGTTCGTTCGATTCGATTTAATTGTTTTATTATCCGACGAACGATGTTCTGACTCATCTAAAACGCTGCTCATAACTAAATATGCACCAGTTTTTCTGATTTACAAGTCATATGTCAGAAATTAAAAAACAAAACATTAAAGATTGTTAACCATAACATCGGATTCATTGATAATCCACATTTGAATGTTTTTAGAATCGGAGTCGAGTGAATATGTACTCAAAGAAGATGTGAATGAGATTTCGAACGTGGAGCAGTCAACAACAGAGGCATTAAGAATCGATACAGGTTGACGCGTATTTCATGGATATTTACCAACCACAAACTATCATATGACTGCAAATTACTTAACGTATTCAAAGTGATATGCTTGGAGATGAAGAATCTGAAATGTTTGCATATATCATAGATTCGAGTGAATATGAAACAGCCGAAGCGAGTGGTGAATACCTCTCGGAAGGAGTACGTGACCAAAGTCGGTTGGGAGGCATGAAAGAGGAAGCGAACGAGCCTCTGAACGGGCAAAACTCAGTGGTGACAAGCACTGATATCAATGGTGATAGCGGTTAATCGCACTTCAATTTTCATTTTTCGCTCTTATCAGTTCCACTGATCACTTTCACCTACATATAACAATTGAGGAAGTGAATTTGCTCAATGATATAAGATAATTGACTCGTTAGAAACTTGCTCAAGATAATTAACTGATTATGTCAGGAACCAGTACTCGTTACGCAGTGTCGTCAATAACATTCTTCAGAGTTGTCTGAACTTCTGTTCACGAACAGACGTGACTCTGTTCACATAATATGCTCATATGACTTGCAGATTTAGAAGGGAGTGGGTACGGTCAGAATGAACTATCAGTGAATGAGCAATCGTACGCTAGAAACGAGGAGGCTGAACTCGATTCAAACATCGAAAGCGCTGAAGCATCAGGAGATGAACTTGACGGTTCGGATCAAAAAGGCAAACCAGAGTTCAAAATTGACACTGAGGAAGGATCAGGAGGCCATGGGCTCGTAGTAGTAGACCACTCGGTGGGAGCCAAAATGGCCGTGGAAACCGAAGAAGCATCAGGAGATGAACTTGATGGTTCGGATCAAATAGGCAAACCAGAGTTCAAAATTGACACTGAAGAAGGATCAGGAGGCCATGGGCTCCTAGTAGTAGATCGCTCGGTGGGAGCTAAAATGGCCGTGGAAACCAAAGAAGCATCAGGACATGACTTCAATGGTTCAGGTAAGTTAATTTCGGATTTCATTTCATAGTTGGTAATTTGATCGACCACTTAAGGGGTTTAAAGATGTAACTGCCAAAGTATTCAAAACGTATTAACGAATAATTTTATTCAAGACGTATCCAATGCGCTTGAATTATACAGTTCAAAAGGATTTTAGATCCAAGTTTCACAAGTTTATGGCCTTCAAATAGGTGAATGTGAAATAATTGCAGACACATTACAAGTGAAACCTGCAATGAAGGTTGATGTTGACGATGAGGTCTTAGATGAGGGATTCATAACACTACCGAAAAATGTGCTTGAAATAAAGAAAACAGGTATGTTTGAAGAGTGGTCAAATTTTTTTATTTAAAGACCAACTTGACAAGAATGAATTTTGTTTGATATGAGTCGAAGAAATGGGCATGAATCCTTAAAAATCGGTCATTATGCTACATAAGTACTCGCAATGATTCTAAAAAAGCTGATGAATTGAGAGCTTCCGGAGTCGATTATTCAACGGTAATGATTTCATTTCAGGAGAACCTTCGAGTATCGTGCAGAAGTGGAAGGAGGAGTTTCATGAAAACGTTATTCCATCCACTTCGAATATAACACTGGAAGAAATACCGATTTCGAAGCGGACTGTGCTACCCTCTTTCCGTAAAAAATCAGGTCCTGATGTTCACCTTATGATACTTTTCTCCTTCAGGAAAACGATCGCGAACAATTAAGCAATCTGAATCGTTAGAATGAGCTTCATGACCTGAACACTTTGATCAATTGCAATCTATAAAACGTTTCATGTTTCTAGAATGTCCGCCTGCGCGGATTTGCAAACGTGGCTGTGGAATTTCAATTGATGAAAACGGTTGTCAAAGTTGTCAGTGCATCTGGAAATCATCATGTGAGTTAATGCTGCCTTAAAATATTGATTGTTCAATTTTTTAGTGAAGACGTGCATTTAGGAAATGTTACTTTTACACTAGGAAAATCCTCACTCTTGACAAACTGTTCTGTGACCGATTTTGATTGATTGCAGTAAATAATGAGCCAGAACTGAAGTGTTTATCATCATACAATTGTAGAAATATTCCCAATTTATTCTTTTCTATCTTTTAAGAACTGATTGATGACAGCATCATGATTGGCACCACTAAAGTTGTTCAATTGATGAAAGGTTTATGAATATTTCAGCATGCAGCAATGAAGAGCCATGCATCGATCCGAAGCAGATCTGTGATTTTGGGAGATGTCAGTGTAAGTTTGGATACATTCAAGATATGACAAGACCTGGCGAGTGTAAAGCAGATCCATCGTTCCCAGGTTTGAACTACCTTGACGATATTGCGAGATGTATGGAGCCATCATGAACAGACTGCTCCCTAAAATGACTTGAACTGCAAACGTGCTTAGAAGGAAATGTTATTGGATCGGTATTTCGAGTAAATTCGCTTAGAACAAAATTCAGAGTGTTTGGTCAACTTCAAACATTCATCAGTTTCAGCCGTGTAATATGATTAATACTTGACAGATCAATTTTTCGTCTTAAGTTGGATCCCCTCAATCTCGGATACTGTTTTCGTGAAACAGCACAAATACTGCTTTCAACTTCTTCACTGTAAACAAGCGATTTTTCAGAATACAGTGTTGTTTTGACTGATAAAAACGTTCGCGATGGTCAGGTCAATAGCCGCAGAATGTCACAAGCATCGTCTCAAATAGAAGATACCAAGAAAATCACGTTACCAGTTGACGATATACGCAAGAAACGTGAATCCGGAGTCCACACTTCAACAAAACGAACACGAGGAGAAAGGATATAGTGGCTTGTTAGATTATGATTACCGTTGTTGTCCTCATTGATCTGATGAACGTATCTCTGTGAATCATTGAACAGCGCGGGGGAATGTTCATGTTAACAAATGCTCATCAAGCATGAAACTACCTCATTTCCCTTCCTTACCGACAATTCTCCTTATTTAAAATAAGAGTTACATGAGCACCTGCGTTTCTATAGCTTGAAA